TCAGTAACTTCTGAAAAAATAAAGTTTAAGGAGCACAAGGCATACAGTGGAGGTCAGTGTTGGTGAATATTTGAGACTTTTTTTATTCTCTCGTTGTCTGCAAATAATAATCTCATTTCTGTGCACTTCAAGGATGAATGTGCGTGCTCATAACTGTATGTATATTTTCTCTGCATGTGTCTGTGCGTTGATCCAGACTGAGGCTCCCTCTGGGGTCCTCAGAGCTCTCGTCCAGCTCTGTTTCTCATTAGACATCTGTCATGGTGCCAGAATCAATAAGCACAGATGGAAGAAAAAAAATCTCTCCTCTCCTCTTTGTGAATGGGCCAATCATTAGCAAATTCCAAAGTGTTTACCATCATCACCAAGGAAAGACCCTCCTCAACTTTACTGTACTTTTAGTAATTTGTAACGCTATTATTTCCTTTATGACCAACAGTTAAAAACCCTCCTCCTCTCTACAAAGTCATGTGAAATCATATGCTCCAGTTTTGTTTGGCTTTGCAGGATCGTGTACTCACTCAACAATCCCAGACGCAGATGAAAATATTTAGTTGTGGGTTTCTTTCTGTCTTTCCCTATTCTGCCCCCCTTTGTGTCTTAAGATGATGCATCTGTTTCCATACATTGTTGCATGTTTTCTGGCAAAGGCAAACAGCATAGTTTAAACAAAGAAGTGGGTGCATGGTGTGTGTTCATCTGGTGTGTGTGTGTGTGTGCGTGCGTGCCACCAAGACTACTTTAAACAAGAGGGAGAAAGGATGACTGCATCCAACCTCAGTTTGTCATCCTTAGTGTAAACGGCTGTACATCATGCTAACATCTTACATGTGCTCGGCCCAATCACAGCAGTCACACACAGCCGTGTCAACACAGCAGTAATGAAAACAAAAAAACTGGAAAGAGGGAGATGGGAGGGAGTCGGATAAAAACAAAGGCAGATGGAAAGTAAAGAAAAAGTTAAAGAGAGAATTCCAATGGAAGCATAATATAAGCGCGGTGGCTGGAAAGAGAGAAGCCGAGGGCAGGATAAATGCTTCCAGTGTAAGCGGAAGAGGAGAGATTATGACATGGCTTGGCATCGCTCCGTAGCACTCGTCTGTAACACAAAGAAAGAGTGGGTGGGTTTTCCACCTCCACAGAATAAATGATGCAAGGGGAAATGGGAGTAAACAACATCAGTCATTATAATTACTCTCATACGGCTACTCCCATCCACCATCAACCATCCTCCAGCCCCCCTTCACTCTCTTCCTTCTGCCATTTTCCATCTGTCTTTACTCCCAAACTTTTTTTCTGCCACTTCTCTACGCCTTAATTACACCTTTTACTTTATTTTCTCTCGCTCACTTTCTCTAACTATTAAACTAATGCAAAACATTTTTCCTCTTTTCTAACTATATCCATTCTACCCGCTTGTTTCAGACCTTAGATCTCAAGTAGGGTGGTCTGAATCTCCAATACACAAAAGAAATATGAGACTGTGAAAGTTGGAGAAATATACTACAAATGACAGGATTTAGTTAAGAATGTTGTCTGAATGCAGTGACAACAGCCAACAGTAATAATAATCTTGGCAAATGTCTTGAGCTTTTTACTGCAGACTTTGAGAGATACAATCTTTGGCTCTAGCAGCAGAAGCCTTTGAGCGGTGCTGAATGCATAGTGAATCATGTCATCTGTTTTTAAGAATTGGATGTGGTTCCCTCGCTGTCTTGGACCTCTGCACTGTTCTGTTTCCCTCTCTCTGCTCTCCCTCTTTCTCTCGCAGGATTCCTGGAGAGCTGTAGTTCTGTGCAAGAAATTGAGATCAAAAAAAGATTGTGTAAAAAAAACATGTATGAATAAAATAATAATTGGCTAGGGAAGAAAATCTGATCTAAAATGTTTTACATCCATTTCTACATGAAAACAAACTCAAACACAGCTGACATGCTCAGAATGTGTATCCTGGCCATGCATCCCTGCAATCCAATGTGTCAAATGCCGAGCATATTTCTCACATGTCATTCTCATAAGGGCTAATTTCTTGTTATTCACGACTGCAGCCTGCAGAACTGTGCTTCAACGCTGAGATTATGTAAGTCTGGCCACTGGGGACTTCGACCTCACATTCTTCTGGATCAGTCTTGTAGGAAGAACGCACTCCCTCTGTGGGAGATAAAGCAGCCAGCCAAGTCAAACTGGTCCCAGGGTGAGACTGAACACTAGGCCCAAACCCACCCAAAACCACCCACCTTGAGACTGCTGACGGAATAGAAGAGACTTTCTGACGTTAGAACCTTTGTGACGGCATGCCGTGATAGTTTGTATTACAGTGCTTCCTTCAAAGGACATTGTCTATAAGGGGTATTTAGACATTTTAGCAAATAAGCTAATTCACAGAAAAAATCTAAAGAGAAACAAACACTGTTAATACCTGAGTAATACCTGCAAAGTACCTACAAACACATATTTTACGAATTAACATGTGTAATCTTGTCATGTGTAATCAAAAACATAAAAAAAGCAAGTTGTAGATTATTTTAGGCTACCATTCCAGTCTTTAGCCTATGCGAGGCTAAGCCATATGTCGTCGTTAATCAATGAACAATCTAAAATAGAAAAAAGATAAGTTATATTTAAAAAAAGAATCTTGCAAAGGTCTACAGTACTATTTTGCACACATATTGTTGGACACACACACACACACACACACACACACACACACACACACACACACACACACACACACACACAGAGAGAGACATAGACGCAAACAAAGTTGAATGGTTTTCAAGGTGTCTGTGAGGCCTCAAAGGTAACCCCTTCCCCCGGAGTTGTATCAACACACCATGTGATGCTTCCTGCAGATTTATTGTTAAACTATAAGTTTTATAGAATGTGTAAATCTGGCTCTGGATCTGGCAGGAGTGAATGGTAGTGTTTGCGTGTGTCCTATTCAGTCATGTCAACAGAGCAATCATTCATGTAGACGAGAGTATAAACTCAGAGGGTTTAGGTCTGCTGGCAGGTGATGATGGACATGCCTTTCAGGGAAAAGTGAGGGATGGAAAGAGGGAGAGGGAGGGCCAGTTGGATGAAAAAGAGGACTGGAATAGAGTTGTCAATGATACCAATTTGTATTTTTTCCTTTTGGCATGTAGGTTTGAGATATGAAAGGCAAGGAAAATAATAAAACAATGATTGAAGAATGAGGAAAAAGCTTTGTTGTGCAGTATATGTCCACTCCATTGTTTGCCATTCTGGGCAGAGAGCCACGGCAGAACAGTTCATACGTTTGGGAGAGAAGGAACTTCTTAATTGCTTCCTCTCACTTCCTCTTTAGCCCTCCCTCCGTCCAACTCTCTCTCTCCAACCCCTTTCTGTTGCCTTAAAGGACAGGTACAGGAAACACTCATTCATTAACAACCTGGAGCTTGTTAGCTTCAATAAAGCGCTCTTCACAAAATGTGCTGTTCCACCTCTGAGGGCATCTCTGAGTGTTTGTGGTGGGAAGTGTAGAGGTGAGGTGGGCTAAAGGGTAAGGCAGGGCCAGAGGAGGGAGGGGAGGGACGGGGGGGTTGGTTTGTTGACCTGGGGTCCTCAAGCAAAAGAGGGGAGTGCTGGTGAAAGACACATTAACAACAATAGATCTCAATGAAGCATGTAACTTACAAATAACCCTGGGATTAGTCACATATATTTCTCCTTTCAACACATTTTCACATACTCTTCTTGATTAACGCTAATCCACAGAGGTTTACTTTTAATTTGTGTGGGCATATGAGTGCTTAAACACTAAAAACAGCTTTTAAAGAGTCTTTATGCACACATATATAGTTAAATAAAAATACAACAAAAACCTGAATTTGCTTTTTGCACTGGGTACATTGGGCACCACCTGCATCAGTCTCTACATTTTCGCCACATCTGCTCATCAGGTGAAAGACAAAAATGTCAAGCCCAGTTAGAAAAGTTCAGAACATTGCAGACAATACTGCCACCCAGCTTTCCAAACACACCCTATCATTTGATAGATGTCAGCCTGTGTTTTTTTTTGCACTGGTTGGACAACACTCAGCAGAATAGTGCACCTTTATTGCCTTTAAAAGATAATAACATGCCCACTGCCTGCCTCCAACCGCTGAACCAGGGTCAGTGAGTTCGACAGCTTCCTGAGGTTCAGGTTGAAATTGTGGCTTGGGAAAATTGGTCCTCTATTTGTAGTTAGAAACAACAGAAAGACCACAGGTGAATATTTGCCCAACACAGTCTGCCTATATTGGTAAGAATGTTATTGTCATGTTGTAATGTTTAATTGTATTTTGATCTAAATGTTTAAGTTGCATGTTTTAAGATGAAAAACTTTGTCTTACAACCCTCAAGTTTGAGAATAAATGGCTGCCACCCATGCAGTTGACAAGGTGCTCTCCCTCTCTCACCATCAGTGCAGCAAGCTCAAGGCCACATGCCCTTTTTCATTACTCCGAACAGGCCAGCTGTATTGTAACTACAACCAATTTCCTTGCAGTCTATAAAGCTGTCAATCAAAATCATACAGAACAGGGAGTGGAGGTGGGGGGTGTAGGGGCGGAGCTGGGTGGGCTGTTGGGGAGGGCTGCAGGGCTCCGGACCAGATGTCAGAGTTTTACGCTGCAGAGGGAGGGAGGAGGGGAGGTCATGTTTACCTGTAGCTAATATAAGCTTAATAGGGAAAAGCAGGAATATTTTGACTTGCGTGGGTGTTTGTATCGTCTGCCTGTCACTAAAGCAACATAAAACACTTATTTCAATATTTAATTAAAGTAATTGTATGGAATTTCTGGGAAACCATATTCACCTTTGTACTTAGTAACATTAGAAGACAGAATGGTAAATATGAATATGGTAGAGAGCAAGTGGAGAGAGTGAATTGGTGTTTTTTTTTTACCACGTCATTCTATTCCTTGAAGCACCTTTTCAAAACAATCAACTCACAGTCAGTCAAAGCAATATTTTTAAGTTTCCATTTATTAAAGTTATGAACAAAGAGACAAATAAGTTATAATATTTTTATTTGTTAGAATTCTATCAGTGTTTGAACATTAATATTTAGAGAGCTAGTACAATTTTCTACTTTCATGGCTAGCCTTTTACCAACCCATAGAAACAGCTGTCTCTCTCCTAGGATCGGAACATAATACTGAAGGGGAGGTGTCAATGTCGTCTCACAAGACAGTTAGCAGTGAAAGTGTGCACCTTAAGGTTTTTTCTGTTATGGTATATCATTACATATAAACTCTTTAAAAATATACTTCTGTCAAATACCTTGACAACTACTATGTACACTACAAAAATAAATTTTCATATAAATAAATTATATGGCATACATTTATCTTTGTAACTGAAAACAGCATACATCCACGCCAACCGAGACCAAAATGGCAGTCTGGAAGAACCACTGATTTTTTTTTCCTTTTAAAATCCTCTAAGAGCTATGATGAGACCTGTAGTGTAAAATGTTATATACTCTTTTTTTCCTATTTAACATTAGTAAGCACTTTATACAGATCAAAATCCATAAATGTAAAAACATTAAACTGTAATAGTGTTTTATCAATAATAAAATTAAAATAAATCCCTGCATTTGTTATCCACTGGCTTCACGACAATAATGAAAGAAAAAACAACATATTTTATATTACAAAAATATAAATATCGCATTTGAATGTTGAGAACAAAAACAAACAAAAAACATAAAAAAATGAATAAAATAGTTGCCAGCTATGATTCTCTCCACTACTGCCAATGTGACATTGGGAGAAAACAAAACAAAAAACAAACAGAACAACCTATTTCATGCAAGCAGCTGACGTAACATGGTGGACAGAAAACTGCAAAGACTTCTGGGAAGAGCTACACATGTTCAACAGGAAGTAAGAGTGTAAAAAAGTGGAGGAAAACTGAGGTGTGGTTGGGGTGAGTGACTGGGTCAAAGGGGCCTGGGTCTGGAACTGAGGGGGGGTTTTGGGGGGGAGGCGCAGGCAAATATGCACGTTGACATGGCCCTGCAGATATAAACTGGCCATTGCTGGGAGGGCAGGGGGGGGCTGGCAGTGTCAACTTTGACCCGTGAGGCTCTGGGCTGTGCCATTTGGCAGTTGTGGGGGGACGTCCAATTAGTGTCATGACATTATGATGTGGAATTTTATTAGCTGAGGTCAGTGGGGACGGCTGATGCCAAATTAGGGCCAGTTGTTTCTACTGTCAATAAAGGAGAGCTGAGGCAGACAGAGGATGTACCAACACACACACGCACATAAATGCTTTAGACATGTATACATTGAGACACACATAGACCACATAGTCAGGCCATATAAGGCTTATCCCGTAGCAGGCCGTGTGGGCTAGCTTATTGGTTGGATAGTAAAAAAGAAAGATACTTGAAGCAAGATATTGCTGTGAATGAAGTTTGAGTGCAGTCAAGTGCCATGTTAAATCAGGTTGTACAGTATACAGTCAGAGCTTTAGCTTATCCACTTGACACAGAGTTAGAGCCCTGTGTTGACCCTGTTCCAGAATCAGTAATGTGAAGGTCCCTGTAATGGGAGAGTGAGTCTTTGAGGTGGGTTTACTGCTTGTACAAGACAGAAACAGTGTTGAGCCTGCTAGGGTTAAACAATATATAGCCTCATACAGTAAGACCCAACCAGAGCAACCTCACAGACAGTGATACAAAGCTGAGAGCAGAAACAGGTTCCAATGCAGAGGCAATGACTAAAAGAACAGAACAAAACCAAAAAACAGCTTTTTAAATTTCTTCATATCTGCTCGTCTTAAATAGCACGCATAGCGTGTCATGTTAAACAGTAATTGTTTCATAACTACCACAGGTTTGTGATAAAAAAATAATAGTTTAACATGTGTACCTTTATACAATAACCGCACACACACATAAACACACACATATATATACCATAGCCCTGTTTGATAATTCTAACAATTTCCCTCATGTTTAAAATGAGTGTAAGTGTTAGCCTGTTCTGAGAATGTGTCTGATTTATAAGCCAGAAGATAATGGGGCAGTTTCACATCACACACACACACGCACACACACATGCGCGCACGCACGCACACACACATGCGCGCACGCACGCACACACACACACACACACACACACACACACACACACCACTTCTTTTGTTTAAAGAGACATTTGCATAGAGTTATAAATGTATATTATTTAAAAAAATATTTTGAGCAGCAACAGTGAATGCTGACAGGTATTTTTGTCTAGATGAAGCTTCCTAATGGCACAGATCCACAGATGAGTGAGCAGTAATAAGATATCTATCACTAACTCTCATACACACGCACACATTTACACAAACACACTCACAAACCATATAAAATGGCAGCCCCAGTCTGTTAACATGAGGAGTTGTACAGCTCCTAAAATTATAGCTACTTTCTGTTCATATTTACATATGTATACAACTTTTAAATATAGATAGAAATATCTAAGAAAATAGTCCACTGGGTTACAGTAAGAATGAGCACCATGACGGCAACACTGGCGAGTTTCGGACTGGGCTGTGCTGGACTTTCCTGCGCCAGACCGAGTCAGCTGCTAAGTAATAGGGAGGAGTCCATCTTTGGCCGTTGTACTTGCGTTCTCCATAACTGAAATAAAAAGGAAGAATTGTTTTTCAGTGCTTTATGATGAACAGACTTTTTTAAAAGGGCAGTTTGAATACGTATTTACGGAAGTAGTTTAAAGCTCACCTCAGCTTGTCCGTCTGCCATTGTTGCTCTCAGCTGCCTCAAACTCCAAATCTTGAAGCTCCATGGACTCCATGTAGGCCCCCCTGGCCCCTGTGTGAGTGTCCAGTGGCACATGAGGGTCGTGGAAGACAGGCTCCGTCCCCTGATCTCCTGATTGGCAGTAACTGTCTGTTGTTGTGTATCCTGGGTAAGAGGAAGCTGGGGGGCCCTGGTTGGACAAGGGGGCTGGGTGAACAGCAACAGTGACGGAGGCTGATGCTGTTACCGTGGTGATGGGTTGACAATAAGGGGTGGGGTTTGGGTGGTGGTGTGGGAGGTGGTGATTAGGTTGTGGGTTGTGGGAAGAGCGGGCCCTGTGGCCTGCTGAGTGTTCTCTATGGCCACGTGAGCCATGATGGCCCCCAGCCTCAGTAGCAGTTTCAAAAGCGTCCATGCGCGGGCGGGCTGGGGGCGGGGCCTGCCGGTGCGGCTGGCTCTTGGGGTCCCTGCTGCTGTTACGCTGAGGAGCCGCTGGCTGGGGCCCAGAATTACAACCCTGAGAGGACTGTAATATAAGACAACATATTTATTTCTAAAATGCTACTAACAGGAATGAGAGAAGTATAGATGCCACACAAAGGGGGATATTGCTTACCAAAGACACATTATAGCCAGGAGGGTCAGGCTGCCTGGCTGTGCGTCTGTTCCCTGATCCTGCTCTCCTGTGCTCCTCTGTCCTGGCTGCTCTGCCTCTGCTGATCTGGAGGTGGTACTGCTGCTCCTCTGCTCGAGTGTGTCCCCTGTGGGAGGGCAGGTTGTAGTTCTGCAGCTCCTGGCTTATACCAGACACTGTGGTGTTAGAGCTGTACTCCGAGTCCGACGAGTCTGAAGCTGCACCAGAGGTGGGCGTGGCTATGGTGGTGTTGTGAGGACGGACCGAGAAGTGGACCACGTGAGGAGGTGTCTCAGGTGATGGGGTGGGTAACTGACTACGACCATCGATTGGGGTCACCTGAGATGTGAGAATAGAGGAGTGACTATTCCACACTTTTCCACAAAAAAAATTCACTTTTTCTTGTCAACTAAGATGACATTTTCTTGCAGTTGCGTATTAAAGGATCCTACCTCTGGATAGGGCCCAAAGTATGACAGTAATACTGGAAGAAGGACCAATCCATTCAGTACTCCAAGAACTGTAAGAATAGCCAACACTGCGAAGAAATACCTGGAACAAACACACAAAGGAAGTTTAACGTCAGGAATAATTTCACAAACTGTAACAAGTGAGGATAAAACTCACTTCAGACCACTTCAAAGTTGTGTGACTGGAACAAAAAACAAAACCCAGATATTCCTAGGCCAACACAGACAGACCAGAAAAGAAGGCGAAGAAACAATGAAAATACCTGTGCAAACCACAAATGTTAAGACATGGGGAGACATGTGCAAGATCAACCAGTACACACGCCCGAGATAATACTTCCACAAAGACACCCGGCCACTCCCCAAGCACACACCATAGGCACACACACATACTGTATATAAACCCCCCCACAGACAGGCAGGCATGCACTGTGGTTTTGAGGAGCAGAACAGAAATGTACCTTGTGTGTTTCTAAATCCTGCCAAAGATGGTTAGTCTTAAAGAAGCCACAGAGAAAAAAGAAAGGGGAAGCATAATTAGCCAGAGCTGGTTAATTCAAAGGCATTGGAGGAAAGAAAAAAAAAGAAAGGAGTGGATGTGGATGTGGAGTGGGTGTGTGGTATATAAGCAAACATGGAGAAAACAAAGCAGTGAGGAATGTGAGGGGAGGGGTTAAGGGGTAAGGGGAGGGTAAAAAGGGGGAAGGAGAGGAGAGGGCGGGTGAGGGGAACCTAGGGGGCTGGGGGGGCACGAGAGGCAAGAGGACAGGGGCCTCTCTCTGCTCTTCGGCTCTAAAAAAGAGAGGGAGAAACAAACAAATGGAGTGAAGGGTATAAAATGTAAACAATTTAGTCTAGGAAGGAGAGAAGGGGACCCTCAGAGCGCCACCCCTCCCTGGTCTCTCTCTCTCTCTCTTTTATTTCTTTCTCTCTCTCTTCTCTGCCTCACTTCCCTCTCCCTCCTTTCCAGCTAAGCCCCTGTGAAATTCCCGGCCACTCCACAATCCCCTCTGTCTAATTAAATCTCCAATGTATCAGGTAAGACCCCCCAAACTCCACTCTAAATCCCCCTCTCTCTCCCACACCAATCCAGCTCCCTTCATTAGGGAAGGCTTTCCACCTCACCCGACTCTCCACTGAAAGCTCTCAGGTTATCAGACAGGGACACACTGATGAACCATGACCCCCCCTGTCCTAACCCTTAACTATGCTTTGTGTGTGTGTGTGTGTGTGTGTGTGTGTGTGTGTGTGCAGAAAGATAGGTATTGTACGGAGGCTTGACAAGTGAGGAGAGCTGGTTCTTGTCTACCCTGCATGGGTGGCCTCACCTTCACAATATTTATACAGCGAGCCAGACTGAATTATGATGGAAACGTACTTAATATGCAAAATGTCTTCAAGATAATTTGAGAGGGCTGGTATGGACACATACTTATGCTGCTGCACACTACACTAGCCATTTTAGTTTATACAAAAAAAGACCATAATGCATAATTATATGTAATTTTTAAGATCTAGTCTGTGGTGTTTTATATGAAAGTTGATACACTGCAATTTCATCGCATAATCAGTTTTATGCTACAGGTATCTCTCTCATTTTCTCTCTTCAATTGACTCAAGGTGTAGTAGTCAGGATAAAAAGTCTGAGCAGAGCCAGATCTAGCCTTCTTTGCACCTGGTAAAATACTTCCCATGTTGAGCCTGCAAACATCAGACCGGCTAGAGTCATTTCTATTCGATGTTGGTCTAGGTGTTCCTGAGGACAGGACTGCATGCTGTGAGTCAGTGTTAACCCAACATCACATTGGACACGGAACTAATCTAACAAGAAATATTAATGTCAGGAAACTTTGAAAAACATTTTCTGAATCAGGTTTGTTCCAAGTTTTTTTAATGCATTGCTTCTTACATAATTGGTAGATAGGATAAGTCGTTACTTATAAAGGAAAGTTTGATTCAAATTTGGTTATTTCTTGCATCATATCATTTGAATTCCACCTTCCTTCATTGACAGAAAGTTCTCCAATTGAAAATTCCAAATTTCCTTTTCAACTAAAGTTGACACACACACACACACACACACACACACACACACACACACACCAGGCTGAGTGCCCTGCCGGGCTGTTTGGAGTGATAACATTCACAGGGCTGATGGGGAAAGCAAGGGAAACATTTATTTCGGCGCAAGCAGAAAAATACGAGCTGGGACTGTTGTTATTGCATCGTCTTGGGACTCTGCTTTGTTTGCTCAGACAACAGCAGAACCTTTAAATGGAGGCCCGGGACTGAGCCAGAAACCAGAGCAGACCACTGGTGGTGAGGAGAGAAGGTCTGTAGGCCTCCTGTGTTTGTGTGTGTCTCTCAGAGTGTGTATCTGTGTGTGCTCTCACTGGCAGGCACGCCATCATTGACCCTCATGATTACAAGGTCAGGAAGCAGGTTGGTCTCTGTGTGTGTGTGTGTGTGTGTGTACGATGGGGACTATGTGTAATTGTATGGGTGTGCATGGCTAAGTGCAGACCTTTGCACATGATAGAGTGCATGCTTGCCGATCACATGGACTTCAGTGCGCCCTTTTCTTAAAGGAGCAGGTCAACCAAAGTATACAGATACCTCAGTTACTTTAAATTATTCAGTGAGCTCACTGGTGCAACAGCTTGCACCCACAAAAAGGAGCAAATGAACCAGAGCCCCCGGAGTGTGTCGGTTTTAATTTCCACTTTTCCTGTCTTTCCACAACGGCCCTCTTGCCCCCCAACCCGTAACTCCTTCCCATGCTTATAAATGTCTAGCGAGGGCAGTTAAACTAGCTGGAGATTACAAAGGCCAGATACCCTTCCTGCTCTCTCACTCCCTCTCTTTCCCTGTCGCTCTCTCCGACCATCACTCTCTTTTACTTTGTTTGCCACTGAATCACCGTCTACTCTCCCCTAGACTGTCTCCACCTACTTCTCCTGACCTTCAACTCTCCATCCATCCCCTGGTTTCCCCTAAAATCTCAGGCATGAGAGACACCGAGGGGGGTGAGGAGGATGAAAGAAAAACCACGAGGGGAGAGGTGGATGGAGAAAGACAAAGGCCTTGTTTATTAAGCTTCATGGAGCAAGCCCCCAGAAATGGAGAGGAAAGCAGGTATGTCACTGGTAGCTGGCAAAGGGATGAGGTCTACAGAAAGGGAGTATGAAAGGGAGATGCGGGTGGAAGACGAGAAAGAGATTGAGGGAGGGAGCGGGGGAAGAAGAAAGCTAGGAGTCTTCATGCATGATTGGTGGCTCAGGTAGATCCTGTGTGACACACAGGTTGAGACATGGTCTCAACGGTCTACTGACGCAACATAGACACTGTACGATAATCTTTGTACCTGCTTTAATATTCGACTTAATGAATGTCGCAATTCCTCATAAGGTTGATTCTTGTACCCACCTGACAATAAAGTCGAACTCAGAGCCCGCAAGCAACAGGACACCTAATAAGGTAGAAAAGGCTCCGTCGAGCACCGGAGCAAACATGTGCTCCAGAGCCAGCACGGCCCGCTTGTGACGATCCCCTATGGCTGTCAGGAAAGCCTACAACACATAAACAGAAGCAGACATTAGTTCTTGTGTGTCACTGTTTTGAAAACCATTCTAAAAAAACTTGTATTTTGTTCATGTTGAAATAGTTTGATGATGTTTATGCCAGCCTACCAGAGCCACATGGACGGTGAACTCCACTCCAATGCCCACAGAGGCGATGAGAATGACAACAGGGACAGCACTCAGCTTGATTCCCATTAGCCCCATGAAGCCAAACAGCTCCACAGTCATAAGAGAAAGCACCAACACCTAAAGGGGAGAGGAGGAGCTTCTGTTAGATGGGAAGGTGCTTAATGAATAAATAAAGTTGAATCACATTTAAAAAAGGTAGATTTAGGTTGAATGGGGGAACATGCCAGAAATAAAATATCCTAAAAATTATAATTGATTTGTAATCTCAGAGTTTCTAGTTGTACTATTTCTTAAGGAAACATATATTTTGATCTGTGTAAACCACTCTTTGCAGGTATTTTTATTTCCATGTACATCTGTATTGTTTTAAGAGATTTAAATGGTTTCTCTAAGTTTGTCAGGTTACAAATGTAATTTTTATCTTCTGTGTAAGTCCAAAGGATAATAATAATACCTTCTATCTAAAGCGGTAAGAAATGTATTATTATAATGCACATATACCCGGGTGAAAAAGTAGAAAAATGTACACAAGCATAAAGTTAAAAATGACCATAAATGGAAATAATCTTCTACTTTATTGTTGTATGATTAACAAACAATTATTAATTGCACGTGCTGTGTGAATTTACAGCTCATCTGGACTTTGATTGTATGCAAAACAGACAGGGGTCAATAATGCACCTGGAAGATGTGAGGATCTCTATCATTTGTATTTGTTAAGTAATTACCATACATATGGGCAAAAGGTCTGTGTGTTGCCTTGAGTGTGTAAAGGCTTCAATGCAAAGCGGGACAGGAGCTGGGAGTAAATGCCATTATCAGCTGACAGGTGTCAGGTTACATGGGGCCCAAATCCTTTGAAGAAGGCTGAGGTGAGCAGGGGAGGGAGCTGTGTAGATGTGGGTGCCTTTAGTGAGCCACCACAGAGTCTGTGCATGTGTGTCCAGGAGGGGGTGTTTGTGTGTGTGTCTAACTTTGTTTACACTTTAGTGAATCTTTAGTGATGTGATCAAAAGTAAGACAGCAATATAAAACGTTTGGTCAGGATTCCATAAAGAGTATTTTTAGTCTTTTAAGATTTAAGCAGACTTAGTACTTCTATATATTATGTGATTGACAACTCAAAAATGTTAATGTCTCTACGTGTGTCTTTTATAAATTCAACATTTTGCCATAAATAAAAAGGCAAATACAGAAGATGGGCAGGAAGCAAAACCAGATCACAAATGATCACTCCAAGTGTGAACATCAATGAATATCAGGTGGATTAGAAACATCTGTATGAATCAAAACACAAGTCACAAGGTTTAAAATGGGCCCTTCCATGTGGTTGAGATGGATTTCAGGCCAAATAGCTAAGAGGGTTTGAAAGGGCGTAAGTTTTGACGTTGTAGGGCTGGCGGTGGTCTGGTCCTGCACAGAGCAAGTGGTTAAACTTGACGGCTCTCCATAACTTGTCTTTTGATCTTGCTAGTAAAGTCTGAAGGATGGACAAGAGGTCCCCTCCTCCCCTGTTTAAGGGCTCGGGTGGCCTGGCCACTGCCCGTCGTAAACTACAACCCACCAGAGAGAAAAACCAGAGCTCTCTGTGTATGTATTTCTGTGTGAATTATGTACCTGCCCGTTTACAGATTTAAACTCTATGTGTGCAAGTATATACATGTCTGCGTGTGTGCACAGTGTGTGTCTGTGTGCGCAAATCTGTGTTTCTATATATCCTTGGAAACTCCGTGTGGAGGATGGAAATCAAATCTAACTTTTTATAGGTTTGGAGTGGGAGCAAGTTGTCCGAGCAACTTTGAGTCCTCTCCCCATTTATTTCAGCATTGGTGTCGGGGAGTGTTGGACTAGACTAAACAGACGGGCCCTAACAAAACAGTACAAGATAAACACTGGTGACTGGGGCTAAAATAACACACAGCAGCCCCTTCCCCTGTTTGGATCTGTCCTCTCTGAGATGGACCACACATAAAAACAGGAAATAAAGGGTGGAGAACACACGATTTTTTAATAACTAAAAGTATGTGGTTTCAGCCTCTCTACGTTAAGAGGTGACCCGTTTGTAATAAAATCCAAATCAGGGAGGTAATACACCTATCAAAAGTATATACACATTTGTTTATTTCAACACTCACTATGATGCCGGCGGTCCACGGGTTGAGCAGGAAGAGGGCACAGACGAGGAAGGTACAGGCGAGCACGACACTGATGCACAGCAGGAGCCAGTGGCGCAGACTAACATACTGTTCCCAGAACAGGAAAGGGTAGCCGTTGGGGTAGGAGGGTAGGCCCTGTCGACTGAAGTTGCTGCAGATAGCCCGCACGCTCTCAATGGCCTCCACAAACTGTGGAGTCTCCCGAAGCCCGTTGAGGTAGAAGGGGAACTGTGCATATTCGATGGGCTCAGCAGCTGGGACTGGGTGGGAAGACAATGAGAGGAAGGTCATTTTTTTGCAAGTAAAAAAAATAGCAGAGCTTGATCTATATTTAACGCCATGCATGAATTGATGATGGTTTTGGACTTTGGAGCCAAGGCAACACAGACTTGCAAGATGAGGAAAATGTCAAATCAAAGAGACAGTAAACTGAGTCACTTTATAAAAGTGATCAGATAAACCAACAATTCCAAAATGACGGATGATATTGTCTATTCCGATTAACTAGCATTAAGTTCTGATCATTTTGGGTATCTTCAGAAATGAATGTAGACACTTCAGCCAAACTCCCAATATCAATGCTTTCCCCTCCCTAATCCAGCCTTATTCCAAGATCAGCTACATCTGTGGAAGAGTGTGTGTGTGTGTGTGTGTGGCAGGGGTGGGCGGAGCAGTGTGAAACAGAGCTCCATTGACTCAAATCCAACCAGTCTGTGGCCCAGCCTGGCTAATGAGGGCCTATCAGTTCCAGACACAGCAGCGTGTCAGAGCTAACGTTGATTCACGGTAATTGCAATGTCAGAATCACCACCATTACCACACCCTAAACTTAGTGCTGCCACATAAAGCATAATACAGATGCATAAACATGCATACCTGTCTGTCACTCCGCTGTGGAGCCATATTTGGTGCTGTCAAAACAGTGTGTTAATTTGGATTTTAGCTTGCAGTATAAAATTGCTGCATATGGCAGATCAAAATATTAACTCTGCAATTCCAACTATCTCCAGCTTTTTATTGTAAAAATACCTTTTTTTTGGACCGTGTTATGTTGGTGGGATTCTGTATATTCCACAGTGCCTGCAGGGTCGAACAGGAGCACTTGGTTTGGCCCATTATAATCTCAACTACGGTATACATTTCCATTAGGACAGCAGTTGGCTTTTGGCCAACACAGATCTGCTTTTGGGGGCTCCCACACAGCCAACCCTTCACGCTGCTTATCCAATCATATGCACCCCCCGTAAAGGTCTTCCTACTTGTTATCCAATTGTGCTTGCCACCCGAACCAAGTCTCTCCTTGTTATCCAATCATTTCCCTCCCCGTGGAGAACATCATGGCTTGAACAAATCACATGCTAGAATCAAACAACAACATGACTATACTTTTTTATTTGAGTTACAGTCTGTATGTGTGGTAGGGACTTGATAACAGGGTGTGTGTAGTGTTAGGGGTCACTGAGTTTTAATAATGTTCAGTGGGTACGTGTATGTGTGTGTGTGTGTGTGTGTGTGTGTGTGTGTGTGTGTGTGTGTGTGTGTGTGTGTGTGCTCACACATACACAAACACACACCGCAGTGGTACAGTAAAGTAAACTACCTTACATGTAGTAGAAGCCTTATGGAACTCCAAAAAAGCCCAGAGAAATTAACCCCAAAAAAAATTGAGCGTAACATTTCAGTAAATGTAATTTGTTAAACTATGGTGTACCGTGTATTAACCTTATCAGTTCAAATTAGCTTCATTTGGTTAAGCAAACATTATCATTGACAATTCGATTCTTCGGTCAAATAACTTTATTACATTACAGTATAAGGCTTCCTGTTTTGATTTCCTGCATGATCTGCGAACATGCTGACTTACTGCTGAGGCGTGTCTCGGGCATGATGTCGGTCCGGTCACGCAGCCACTCTGGAGGGTGTGGGCGAATGTTGGCCTGCGAGGCGGCGTATGCCACAGGATCATTGCTGACCCAAGCAGTAAGGTAGATGTAGAATGCCCCGGGGTTGATGATCCCATCTGCATCTACAAGCCTGTGACGAGTCAGCTACAACACCCAAAAGGAGACAAATTAATGATAATACTCTAATGTAGAAAATAAGGTTCTATTCTGCTGTATTCTTTAAAATACCAGGACTTGCACACATCTTATTTCAATTAGATCCTTCACATTACATAGATAGGACTAAGCCGCATTTGAAAATGGAATAAATATAAAATGCAAAAAGTACATTTAAGGTCAAATATTAGGTGGAGCTTGCAAAGAAAATCATATTGCGGCGGCCAAGTGTACATTGGAAAGGAAAAGGTATTGTGGAAATAGGACATGTTTAACCAAACATTCTACAGGTGAGCTGACCACAGAAATGCTTACTTATACACATGCATGAGTGCAAGAGAACGGAGCAGCTTTCAAAATAAGAGTCAAATATTAGTTTCTCTCTCTTTCCAACCAAAGAAAAATCAACAAGTCAAACACTGGTCGCCTTTCTGAAAATTCCCGTACTTCTCATCACCGCTTCCCAGAATTATCATGCCACATTAAAACATGGAAAATGTTGAATCAGCTTCTCCCTTTACATACACAAGATATTGACTGGCCAACCTCAGGCCAAATGTCCTGACCACTCTTGAATACATTTCTAAAGGAAGCCTTGCTGAACTTCTCTGTAAAGAAGAAGGTGTCGGAGCTGAATGTAGTACCAAGTCTTTATTGTAAAAGTGGGAAATGTATCAGTCTAATGTGGCGTCTGACTTTGGTGATCCCATGACTGCTCCCCTAGGAATGTACGTACGTGTTGCCCAAAGGGTGAATTTTAACAATAACCTCACAGAGCTTCTAACAGAGCTGTAGATATTGTTTGAATTCACTAAGTCAAATTATTATAACATTAGTAACAAGGTAATTTTTCCAGACTATATCAATATGCTAGTTAATCTCAAACCAAAGCTGGGTAGTCAAACACAATGAATCAGACCAACCCCACGCTGAGTGTTTCTGTCTGGTTGCAGATTGTTCCCAAGCGTTTTTAGTCGGTGTCATTTGCTGTGACGGCTATGGTCAGTAGGAAGGCAAGAATGGCTGTCTTGCTCAAGGGCCATTACTTTTCGCCCTCCCATGTGGAACCAGAGGAGTTTAGCCTAGCTTTGCTACCTCCTGAGCGGTAAAACCATTACTACACACCGCTCTGCCACTCTCCCTTCTAGGAACCATAAATCTTTCCTTCACTGAGGCAGGGAGAGTTTTGGGGTTAAAACTGGACTCAAGGGTTAGGTGGATGAAGAGAAGACTAGGGTTTATTTTTGTGATGGAAAATTGCTTGAGTTGAGGCTAGCGTAACAATAAAGAAATTGGCTGGAGTCCCTGAGCGCGTCTGTGTGCAGTTAACCTGGTTGTTAACACTGAAGGAAATGCCACCCGGCAAATGGAGTAGAGCTATAAAAACAACACAACATCTGTACAAATGTTGCTCACACTTGCTTCTCCTGACCCCTACGGGTACCCAGAATGCCGGGCACCACTGACAAACCAGGCCCTGAGAAAAAAAGAGCTCATGATAGCGTTAGCATGGCCTTCCTGGGAACTTTCAAGAAACGTTCCACCTCCTCCTTCTCCACATACCCAACCCCTTCTGTATCCAGAGCTTTATACACGCACACATACACACACAAAACCAGCTACCATATGACTCTCAAGCAAGGTCATAAGGAACGAATGGTCGCCCAGCACAGAGGGAAATGTTAGCAGCAGCAGATCAAAGCCAGAACACCTCTGCACGATCCGTGGAGTGGCATATCAAAATAAAACATCTAGCTTTGCAATTTGCCAGGGTTGGAAAAGATCTGGTCCTCATTTTAAGACATGGAAAACAGCTACTGCTGTAAGTGCACGCACAACAGATAAAAGCAAAACACAGACTGAAAACATACAAACTCAAAGAAACCACGTGTTTCAGCTCCCCTCATTGAAAGAGGACACAGCAGTGGAGCACAGAGGGTGGAAAAGGGAGGGAGGAAGGGACACAGAGAGAGAGCAAGACTGGTAGTGCGAGCAGAAGTTGGTGAAGGAGAGTTGGAGAGAGAGAAGGGCAAGAAAGAGAGCCAGATTCCAGAGGATCTGGATTGAATTTAACAGCGGGATACGCAACAACTGTATGTCTTCAAGCTGTCACGGGAAGCTCAGGCAGCTCTGCGGGCGGCCCCACGCCTCACGGCAAATACACTTCCCTCACAGGCACAGGAAGTGATGTCACAGGGCCGCACACCAAACCTGCCACTGCTCCCTGCCAGCTAGTGGAAGGGATGCTAAAAGCCTTTTGCTGCTGCATTAGAGCTCAATGGGTAAGAGAAAACGCCAAACACAAACAGAGAAGAGTTGAGGGGGGAACGTTTTCAGTAGACATGCATGACTTCAACGCAAATCATATATATCATTGAACACTAGACACAGGGGTGCTATAAGTCAAAGTTAATTATCTTTAAGAACAATTATCTCAGTGTTGAAAAGGACTTGTTTTGGGTTTGGAGTTTTTAGAAAGCCAGGCCAAGAATATTCGTTTTTTTATTACTCCAGTTTCTTATCTTCTGTTTGCACTTATTCATGCCAAAGAATGCAGCAATGCATTATTTATGTTTTTTTTTTGAGGTGGCACTAAACTATAAACAGTGTGTAATGCCCTGTTGGAACCAAGCAAGTTTTAACTGGAACTCTTTCTGAGACGTTGGCTGCTCTAGCTTGATTTGTGTCATTGTTGGATATACAGTATCAAACAACCCACTGGAGACAGAGCTCACTTCAACAGCTGGACTGGAGTTTGTCAGATGATTAAGCTAACTACTCTGTTGTATTATTGCATTTACAGCAGTGGGTACAGTAGTAATGGAATCTGGAGGCTTTTCTACCTAAAAAGTAGCTGCATTAAAACACTGGACAGCAAAAGTGTTGTGAAGGCAACCGCTTGAACTTTCTCAGGCAGTATTTTAGAGGGGCCTGATGTTCAAATGAAACAAATTAGCATTTCTCTTTAGCAAAAATAAACATTTCAACTTATTTAGCCAACTAACTCACTTTATAAATTCTAAAAATGTGCCAAAAGATATGTAAATGTTGCAAAATGTTTCATATTTTTTAGAAGTTAACTTCAGTTTATTTTGACCATTCAAACTTCATTCACGACAGAATCACAGTAAATAAGTTGTAGACAATTGGGGCATGAATGAGTTTGTCTGTTTTGAATTGATTTGTTTTTGCTATCCAACCACTCATACTATGAACTGTGTCTGGAATCACTAACAACGCTAAGGGAAGACATCAAACTGTCAAGATCCTGCACAAGCACAGACACAAACACACACACAGTTCTAGCAAGTGGGACAAATGGTTTAAATGAAGAGTTAATAGGTTTTTCAGAGGAAGGCTGCAGCCCCAGTGAGAGCTTTAAATTCCTGGGCTCGGTAAAGTCACCACGGAGAAAAGATGGAGACAGACACAGAGAGAAAAAGAAAGAGAAAAGTCGGATAGAGAGAGCGATGTTTTTTTAAGCCGGGTGTGGCTCTTCCAGTCCCATTCACACATAAATATGCATATACATACAGTGTCTCTTCAGTCTATCCCTAGATGCATACCAGGTTGAAGTTAATGGGCTTTTCCCTGCGTCCTGTCTGCACCAACAGCTTGTACGCCAGGACGCCATCATCAGAGCCATTCCTGTAGTTGTTTTGGGTGATGCGCCCGGCCTCCCAGTCCCTGTCAAATGCCTGCTGGAGACCTGCAGGAAACCACAACAAGACAGATTGGTTAGGTGTGGATGTTGAAAAGGTTAAATGCCCTGTTATCTTCATTCCTTCTCTGCAAAATACTCATAAAGCCGAGTTCAAAAGAAAACCAAACGCATAGCAACCCAAAACAGTACAAGACAATATAACACAACACTGCAACCTAACCTTGACCCTATAATAAGGCTGATTGATTTAATATGATAACTCGGCTCCATTCTCAACTACCAAACAAGACTTCAAAAGCCTAAGATTGGCTGCTTTTGATTCAAAGTCATCATTAGGAATTATATCAGTAACATATGTCTCCTTTTCTATACTACTTCTCCAATCCATATGTGTATCACTCCCCTCCTCTCGGTTCTCCCCAAAGGCCCATGCTGTGGTCCGTCTGTGGGAGATGTTGTTTTGGGTCTCGTTCCTTGGCCTGTCTGGCTCCAATTTGTCCCACCATTGCAGAGAGCAATATCAGACACAGTTCTGTCTCTCTCACCCACACACTCTCTGTGTGGTTCCCAGCCGCCTCACACACAGATTAACACAATGTGTTTTATCGTTACAGGCAAGTCAGCACTTCCTTTCTAATAATAAACCCATTTGAGAATCTGGGTGGACATGTGTAAGATAATATTCTTATTCAGTGGCACTTACAATTCTTAGGAGCTATCAGTGGCGACAATGCAACAAACAAATCAGCAAAAACTGAATCTTGTCATCATAGTTATATGCCAAATATTACCAATGAATTTGAACGAAAAATGACAGAAACTAGCAGAAGCAGTACTAATCTCACTTCCTTCTCTATCAACCCCACTTAAGGATGACACAAGTGATTTTAATCAGACTACTTCCAGTGTCCATTCTGCAATCCCCTACTTCTGAAACCCTGCCCAACATCTTGTTTCAGGCCGATTCATGTCAAAACAGAAGACAATTTTGATCTCAAAACTGTTTCATGAGAACGTAAATGATTACTAGGGATGCACCGAATATTCGGCCACCGAAAATTATCGGCCGAAAATGGTTAAAAAGGCCCTTTCGGCTTTCGGCCGAAAGGGTTCTAGCACCGAAAAAATATCACCGAATGTCAGAGAACAGGGTTACGTTGGTAAGCTAACGTGTTGTTGTGATGACGTAATCAAAACGCGGCGACAAGCACGACCATGCTCGCGGCTGGCTCACAGCCAACATGTCTGCCGCTTGGAGATATTTTAAAATATCAGAGAAAGAGGCGCGGATTGCGATTTGTAAAACGTGTTCAGCTGACATTTCTCGAGGGGGTGTAACTGCAAAGACTTTCACCACTTCGGGATTACTCCACCACTTGAAATCAAAACACCCGGACAAATATGCGGAGTAAGATCAAATCACAAGCACTGACAGCGAGAGACTGTTCAGCGCTGCCTCTCATGTGCTTGATGAGAAGAGGAGCAGACTTATGGCTGATAAAGCAGAGAAGCTACTGTTCATTAAAAAGAACCTCCCACTTTTCCTTAATAAGTAGACAAGGCTGGCTTATCATAAGCTTATCTAGTTCTACATGCCTACTCTATACCCACTTTCCTGAACAATTTTCATTGTGAGTTATAATTCACCATCTCAGGTTATCATTAGGGGGAAATGACAGCAGCACAGTGTTCAATATATTGTACTTTCGGTATCTAAATGATACAATGTTGTTTACATTGCTCATGAGGACAGACCACCTTATTTGCAGATTCTTGAAATTGTAATTTAATTTGTAATTGATTGTGGATTTTGTATCCAGTTTTCACTTTATGTATCTTTATACAATGTTTACTACTTTGCTTATGAGGACATACTACTACTTATTTACAGATTCTTGAAATTCAATTGTAATTTCATTTGTAAATAGTTACATTCATGTGGATTTATCCAGTTTGCACATTTGTATGCATGCACTTATAGGTGCATTTGTTGTTGTTGAAGGCCTGGCTGTTACAGTCTTTATTTACACTATTTTGGTGTTGGCCTACTGGCCTAGATGTTTATGCAGTTTTAAAGCACCTTGGCTTTGTTCTGAATGCACTTTGTTCTAGTTATCCTACAGAGAAAAGAAAATGCACTTGACTTGGAATTAATGTACTGTATGCATTCAAAAGTGCTGAATAAATGTTTTATGGACCCATAATAGTGATTATTATTTAAGTTAAGTTTTGCCATAATCATTTATTTTTCCATAATCAGGTAGCTGAACAACATTGGTAAAAAATGTATACATTATATATTTCTATTAATCATTTTCGGCCTTTCGGCATTCGGTTTTCAGCCAACCGTTTCCTATTTTCGGTTTCGGCCAAAAATTACCCATTCGGTGCACCCCTAATGATTACCATGCCTGAATTATCTTGAATAGTGATATAAAATAAAAAATTAATAACAGTGACATTAGTATTAGGGTTAAGTGATCTAACACGGACTCTGACTGCTAGTTCGAACACAAGGATAATTTTTCTCTTAGTGGGACCCAATCCACTTTTGGTGTAGTTTAGGTGGTAACAAGATATCGAGCTTAATTTTACCTTGAAGCCATTCCCTGAAATAGTGAAGCCACATGTGAGGCAGCTCTCCGTTGTCCTCCTTCAGCACGTAGCGAACAGTGTGGAACCTCTGGTGGAGCTGGTGCAGCAGACGCTGCTTCTTGGGGTATTCCGCCTGCTGTGTCACCACATACATGTTGTAGAAGGAGAAGAACTTGAACTGGGCACCGATGAAGTCATGCTCGCTGGTCTCTCTCGGCACAATGTCTGTCAACTCCAGGCCATCCTTCACCTGGGTGGTCCCGTACAGACTGACTACCAGCAGGCAGAGGAACAGCACAATCACAACCACCTGGAAACAGGAGGAAAAGGATGGAGATCATCAATCAAATCACTGCCCGGAGTAAAGGCTGGACAGCTTAAGCTTGAACTAATTACTTCTGAAAACCATAATTCATATTGTGAATGAGTGAAGAAGAGAAAATGAGGACAAAGTGCAACATCTGAGGTACTAGTTAGCAACACGTTCCACACAATTCAAAAGAGTTGATAAGAAATAAATCCGATAAAAAAGCACAAATCGAGGCACTTGGTTTAAATTAACTTATACATTGGGTGTATGTCTGACATGGCAAGAAACACAAGCAGTCAGCTTATAGTACAGATTGAAATAAAAAGCATACAAAGAAAGTCAAAATGACTATCCAAATACTATGTTGTAAACTGCCTGTTTCAACTTTGATCTATTGCATGCAAGCAAGTTCATGCAGCAAAGTTGCCATGAAGGTCAACAATAAGGTTTTAATAAACCATTACTTTCATTGAAGTCATTCAGCAATATGATGAGTATTGGATTAAGGCATCAAATGAGCAGATTAAGCCATTTAGCAATATGGACACTGTGTGATGACAGGACCAAGAGTATGTCAAGTACAAGCACCATATGATTTCAGTTCTGGCAGGCTTTGAGACGACTGGCCACCCACTAGACTGAGGTCAGTCAGTGTGTGTGTGAGCTTATATGTGACTCAGATAGGACATGACCACAACGTCCACCCCAGATGTCCTCCTACTATTCCCTCTGGTGACTAACCACCCCTTTAAAACTATAACTAAAGTGAGTCAGCACAAGCGCAGTCTTGCCTCACTCAGAAGCTTTTCCCCCATTCTTTCTCTACCCCTCTTTTCTACAGAAACACAGACAGTAAACGCACCTTGGTGGTTGGTTGTAGAAGGAATGGAGCATAGTGTCTCTCAGCAAAAGAGGCCAGGGTCCAGCGGGAGCAGGGGGGGTCGAGGCAGCGCAGGCCCAGAGAGCGTTCTCCGTGCTGGGACAACAGGTCCCGTGTGGAGCTGTTGTTCTCCGGGCCATGGCCAGATGACGTGGGTGCATCGCCCTGAGGAGCTGAGCTAGCAGTTGGAGTCGTGGTAGCAGAAGGAGGTGCAGTATGATGATGGGAGAAGGGGGCAGAACCTCGAGACCCCCCATTGCCTCGGCTCCCACTGTTGTTGTTGAGATTGCCGTGGGTGCTGCTGCTGCTACCGCTGGGGTTGCTGCTGTAATAGTCGTTGTTAGGGTTACTCCTCGTTGGAGCTGCGTTCATGGGCTGCACAGAGATTTGCGAACTTGGCTCAGCCGTGGTGTAGAAGGCCTGGGTCCTGGGGTCGTACTCTGTCCTGAGCTGCACCGTGGACTGCATGGTGATTTGCGTCTGCTGGGCAAAGCCATGGCTGCTGTAGGAGGGAGGGGGGCTGCTATAGTTTGGGGGAGGCGTGTGATACGAGGGAGGGGGTGTACAATAGGATGGGGGAGGGCTGTAGTGGCTTTCATCTGCCCCATCCAGGTGTGCATGAGGCTCAATCTGAATCACCCGATTGGCAGAGGGACTGAAGGGATAAAGACAGAGAAGAAGACATTCAGATCAACTGCTTTGAAAGACAATACATCGAGGGACACTCAAAAACAATACAAACTTTCAAGGTTATGCTGTTCTAGATGTTCTTGATCAGACCCATGTTATTATGAATCCACTCTTCTCTCTCGCTGCCAACAGCATAAAATATAGAGCTGAGACACGACGAGGGAATTTAATAGTGTGTGTGCAGTGCACATCTGTATGATCGCCGTGCCAACAAGCATGCTCAGACTGGCAGGCAGGCAGACTGGTTAAGTATAAAAAAAGACGGATGAAAACACAGTCAAGACAACTTAAGAAGTAAGTACTATTCTTGGTCTGATCAGAGTCGACCTTTTATGGAAGAATAATGAAAAGAAGAGCATAGACATGAGTGTAAAAAAGTTTGCGCACACACCTGTAAAAGCAGCAGAATATGTCGAAACGTCTGTCTTCTCGTCGGTAGAGGTCCATGCTGAGGATGGCGGGGAAGATGAGCAGCACCATGGCAAAGTTAAACACCACCACCACCGCAGCCTGCAGGAAACAGGCATGTTATGGAAAAAGTAGCTTTTATCACTATTTTGAATGGACTGTTGATGATCTTTGTGTGTGAATTGCTGAATATATACGAGTCAAATTTAATTGAAATCTCCATTCCTGTTGCATTTCCGTTCATGCACAAGTACAGGCTTCAAACAGTGGGAAGCCTAAATATGCCTTAAAATAACACAATATCAATCAAGGCAGAAGAGTACCTAAATACAAACAATTCCTGTGTGCGTGTGTGAGTGTGAGTGTAATAGAAGCCAGTGCAGTGTTGTGGTTAAGTATTTGAAGGTGGTCCACTGGAGCATAGGGTGGGGGATGGGTAGGTTTAGCGTACAATCTGGATCTTGCGTCGTTGCCAGACCACTACGCACAGACACACACTCAGACACACACACACTCAGACACACACACTCAGACCACCCGAGGAGCCAGAGGCCCGCGGGGCCTGAGGTGATGAGCAGGCGCTGCGGCTGTACAGACAACACACACCCTTAACACACTCACACCAAAAAATGCACATACACACATGTATCTACTGCAATGTTAAAAAACTGTGCAGCCTCCTACTTTAACCACACCTTACGCCAACCAGACACACACATCCCTGCCCTCATTCCTTAGCTCAAGATTCAGTCAACAATAAGGTAGGGGAACACGAGACACAAAGCCTCTGTAAGTAGAGTAGAACAATGAATGCTCCTTTGGACCACACACACCCCCACACACACACACACACACACACACACACACACACACACACACACACACACACACACAATATTGTAACAAACATCATAATTTAAAAATGAATATCCTTAAAAAAAGTAAAAGAAATAATAATATTCATATAAACATATTGTTAAAATGATAAAATACAATTAATAGAATAATAAACAAATATTTAATATGTGCAATAAAAACATCAATAATAAAATCAATAATAAAATCAATATAGATGCAAAGATATGGAGAAAATGTCCAATGAAAGGTTAAACACAGTATATATTATAATAACAATAGAATAAAAATATATATGCATCACATTAATCTAAAGTAAAAGTATGCACATTGTACTAAAACTTATATCAAACACATACACTTATTAGTATTCATCAGACATCGTCCACCCTCCTGCTGCGTGTCGGTTTCTCTGCTCTATTATTTAGCGGTGGCAAAATGTTGAAACAGTTCTGTGTTCATTCATCTGTTTGCTGTCCTCTCGATGCATTACATTCCCTTTACAGCTGCGCAGAGAGAATATCATGATCTGAGCTGCCGTCATCTGCAGCTCAGTAGAGGAGAGGAGTGATGGGAATTCAGAAGAGCCGTTCTTTTTAAAGGGGGCGGGGTTAATAGATTTATCTGCGAACTAATCACCAGGATAATGATTGACTGTATCGCCGGAAATCTACTTTTACTCACAGAAGTGTATAACTTGCTTCATCTCTCAGCCAAACTACTACTCAAGCATGTCAAACTCAAGGCCCGGGGGCCAAATCAGGCCCTTGGTGGATTTTCGGCCCGCAGGATAATTTCTAATTACTATTAGATCTGGCCCGCCGGTATAGAGTGGCGAAGTCACGCCCACTTACTTCCGCATCATGGGACCTTATTCCGAAAAAATAATACATTGAAGTCAATGGAGAGAGAAAACGCATCTTTTGATCCCGTTTGAATTGTGCCATGAATTACACATAGGCCTATGTTGTTTGTCAATCTTAAAAAATCATTTCCATGTTAAAAAATTCAAAGTTTGTCTTAAAACTGTTGAAATATAAGACTATGAAAAATACGCAACTAGAAAGACTACAAATCCCAGAGTCGCGTAAGTGCTGTCATAACTGATGTATTCCCTCCAGATAGCTAAAAATACATTTACTTACTGTACTTACTTACTTTAACAAGATGCCTGTGTGCTTTGTACCATGTTGTTATCATACCAGTAATAGTACCTCTTGCTCGTTCTCGAAGAGCAACTAAAACAAAACACGAGAGTGTACCTTGTTAGCTAATGTTAGCTAGCTGACATTAACGTTACACATTACAGTCGTGTTACTCACCGAAACCTTGTAAAGCCGGTCCCGCATGCTGGCTCTTACGGAACCAACTAACTCACCTTTTTCGTATGTACAGCTCTCAACATGCCCAGATTTGTAGTGATTTTCACCTCTTTTAATACTTTTCGCCTCATTCTGAAAGAAAGAGGTGAAATGTACCAACGTGACGGCCATCTTGGTGTTGGTGACGTGTGCAAGACCAGAGTTGTAGTTCATTGAGCGCTTCACACAAAGAAATGTGTAACTTCACAGTTTTACGACACATTTTTTTTTTTTGACTTGCAAAATTATCTTTTAAATTGACAAACATCATATGTGTAATTCGTGTCACAATTCAAACGGGATCGAAAGATAATCTTTCTCTCCCCATTGACTTCAATACATACTTTTTCCGATATAAGGTCCCATGGACGTCGACCGGAAGGGGAGGGACTTCGCCACTCTATATTGCACGCACACCTTCGCTCCATCCTGAGGGTCTCCTCAGCTCAGAGCCTGAGCCCAAACATTGATGACCTTGCACCCGAGATGAGATGCCAAGTATCTGACTTGGCATCTCATCTCGGGTGCAAGGTCATCAATGTTTGGGCTCAGGCTCTGAGCTGAGGAGACCCTCAGGATGGAGCGAAGGTGTGCGTGCAANAAAAATGATCTGACAGCTAATCCAGAAAACAGTAGCGCCGGCTACACAAGCAAACAGAACCTAAATACACACAGACTAATAAAACCAACAAGACACAGGTGAGGGGGGAGGAGACAACACAGGGCACCAGGTGGCCACAATCACCAGTAGCAGACAAGACGGGAGGGGGAACACTTTTCAAAATAAAACAAGAAACAGAGACAGACAAACTAAAACATAGACTGATCGTGACAAATAGATGCATAAATGACATGTATATTCACATTCTTCCTGTGCCATGTTTTAGTGTAGAACAGATCAATATACTTCGCCAAATATGAAGCTATATTATCCGTAACGGAAGCCGAGATCTATGGCCCCAGAGATCGCCTTAATTTTTTTTTTTTTATATATGTTTTTGTTTCAAAATCTGTTCGAAATAAAGATGGAAATGAAATGAACAGTGGTTTTGTGGCGGTTCTGTTCTGAGGATAGTGATTGTTATTAAAAAGTATTGTTTTATCAGATGAATAAAGATGGAAACGCAAGCCCAAGAGACTATGTGCATTATATAATGCCAAGTAGTTTATTTTTTGTTGTATAAATGAATAAGTGGTTGTTTGAAGCAAACATTAAAATATGTTTCTTTGCGCTCTGGAAAATTGTTATGTGAAAAGCACAATCCATAAGCCGGCGGATCACCTTCTGATCTTCCCTTGTAAACATTATGTTGTCAGTCAAAGCTTGCACCTCATTAACCTCTGTATTTTTGACCTTCCTTTTTTATCCCTTTCATATTTTTCCTCCCTCTCCCTCTGTCACCCTCCCTCCTTCCCTCCTTTCCAGTGCCCAAGCCCTACAGACCATGTTCCAGCTGATGACTCCCAAGCAGATGTTTGAGCACTTTCGTGGCTATGAGGAGGTTTCCCACATCAACTGGAATGAAGAAAAGGCTGCAGCTATACTGGAAGCCTGGCAGAGGAAATACTCTGAGGTAAGGGACCAAAGCACTCAGAAACTAGAGAGAGACACATCCATAAAAGGGAAAATAAATCTACCCTAAATCCTCTACAACCACATTGTAAATCTAAGACCGGATACAGGTGAACATGGAAAGGCCCCATCCAAAGCCAGGGCCCCTGATAGATACTAGAATCACTGTTGGTGTGTGGTATAGGCCTATAGCTTTCCTCTCACTGCTCAGTAGAGAGGAGCAATAGAGCAGGGTGAGCATGTCTGGAATACATTAAGGGAGGGCTGGATATCTCTCTCTCCCTCTCTCTCCTTCTCTCCCGCGCTCTTGCTCTCTAACTCTTTAACTCATGTACAAACACACATGCAAACACACTCAAAAGTGCACACACAATCTCTTTCCCAGCTGTGGCCCCATTGGTGGCTCATGTGTGACATCATCTTGTCTTTGTTTTGGGGGCCCCAACCTCTGTTCAACATGGTGTGACCTTGTGTGTGTGTGTATCTGTGTGTGTGCGCCATTTATCTTGGGGCCCAGAGACCACTGATGGATAGTAGAGAGGTGTGATTTTTTATCAGAACTCAGTGTTTTTTATAGCAGTCATCGAAGAAATAAAAGATGCCAAATAGTCTTACTATGTCTATGAGTTTGTGTTAATGTGTTTGTGATGTGTATTACTCTATGGTTAGGCGTGTCTGTTAGGATAGTATGTGCATGCATGTCAGTATGTGCCTTACACATGTGCAAATTCACACATGGGTGCAAAAGTGTGTGTGATCTAGTGTGTGTTTCCTAATGTGTGTCAGCCAGCATAGCTCCCCACTGAGCAGTAACTGCAGTTCAGTGTTGATCAATGAGCGGGAGAGGATGGGTCATGGTACTGTCTGCAGATTCTTCCAAATGCTTCCTACAACAGAGGCAGAGCTTGATATTTAGGGCTGCTGTGTGGTTTTGAGTGATATTTACTTATTCTATACCAAAAACAGGTCCTTATACACGGCAGGTATTATTAATTGTTTGTCTATACACAGCTCTATTTCTGCTATTGCGAAATACTGCGAATTGCTTCCAATGCGCTTTCCAGTTTTGATCTGTTCCTATTTGTGTCTGGGTTTTTTAGTGTGTTTAGTTGTACTTTTTTTTATCTCATATCTTACCTTTTCAATTGATTTAGTTATATTTATTGTTGCTGGTTTTGGTTTAATTGTATGAAAAGTGCTAAGGTGCATTTTTGTTCTCTAAATTAGTCAGCTATACCCATTTAGGTTATATTAAGAAGGGCCATTTCACAAAGAGAGGGAACATTTTATTAAACTTGGTTCTGCAGAGACCGGCACTGATTTTTTTTAATTAAAAAAAATAGAATGAGAAAAAGTAAAAGGTGAACACAATATTTGCCCATCTAAGAACTTTGGCTGATTATCTTTTAACCTGACTGTGAGCATTTGTAGAGCTGCCGCTGCACTGAGCGTAAATCAACCTCCAGTTTGTTGTTTCATGTTATACCAAATGTCTTATTTGCCTTGGAAGTTTGTTTAATTATTGCTTATATCTCCATCAATGCATGACTATTTATTTTAAACCTTCTCTTCAGTAATGTTTCTATCTCTATCTCTGTTTTCCTCTCTCTTTGTAGGCGGTGCTGCAGAGTGTTGCAGCAAATTCGTCTCAGAAGGTCTTGTCTTTCACCTCCACCACTCTGGAAGATATTCTCAAGTCTTTCTCGGACATCAGCGTCATCCGTGTGGCCAGTGGATATCTGCTTATGGTGAGAACAGAGCCAGAGAAAAGACATAATACATTTTCAAATACACTTTCTGTTTGGATAATGGATTTTGTAAAAAGCTTTGAGCAGCTAATGTGTAGGCTTAGATTGAGGAAAACACAAGTTAAAAAAGAAGGGTAGATGTTTGACGATTAACCTAACCTTGTAATAAGTTGACTTAATCTTTGATTTCTTGTTTGGTGTATGTCCCAGCTGGCCTATGCGTGCCTTACCATGCTACGGTGGGACTGTGCCAAGTCTCAGGGGGCTGTTGGGCTGGCGGGGGTCTTGCTGGTGACACTGTCAGTGGCAGCTGGCCTCGGCCTCTGCTCTCTCCTGGGCATTTCCTTCAATGCTGCCACCACACAGGTAACTCACATCATTTGTCATGATTAACACAATGAGATCAAATGTTTATCAGTGTCATTTGACATCCCTTGATTATATAAATCATAAAAAAATTGTCAACGGTTTGTTTCTGACTGCTTTGCACTATGTTACTATCCACAAAAAAATGTAACATTAATTAGTAGGGTAATACTTATAACATGTAACAGTTTGTTGACTAGAAATTAAAAACATTCAACATTTATTTGGCTTTTGGAGCTCATGAATTGTGTGTGTGTGTGCTACAGGTGCTACCCTTCCTGGCTCTTGGTGTTGGAGTGGACGATGTTTTCCTCCTCGCTCATGCCTTCAGTGAGACCGGACAGAACAAGAGGATCCCATTCGAGGTGAGGCGAACATCCAAACTGTTCCTTACCCCCTCTGCTGTCTTATCTCCAAAATAGAAGAATGTGTGAAAGCGTGTCTGTGCCTGTGATGTAAGATCAAACAACCTGTGCCACACACTAAGTCCGCTTATCTAAGAAATACTCAATATTAAATATTTCCCTTTTTTGATTAATGAAAAGCGACCAAAGAAGGCTAAATTAAATCATAAATCAAAAGTGTTTCTCACAAGTAGCTCAAGGCATATACAGTTAAACACTGGCAGAAACCTGCTTTTTCAAAAGGGTAAATAGAGTAGGTATCTGCAACCTCATCTGGGTATGTGCCTGTGTGTTTTTTTTTTTTTTGGAACGGAATAACTTTATCTCCAGAAAGGGGAAAACACAGGCAAGTATTTGCTTGTTTTTGTTTCCCCCTGTTACTCTCCCCTTCTAGCCCTTGTCACTATGCCTCCTTCATCCCTCAACTTCCTTTGTGTGGTTAAGATAAAAAACTAAACAGAGCTGAACCTGATCTGTCCTGTCTAACACACACACACACACACACACACACACACACACACACACACACACACACACACACACACACACACACACACACACACAGAAACACACACACACAGACAGAAACACACACACACACACACACACACACAGAAACACACACACACAGACAGAAACACACACACACACACACACACACACACACACACACACACACACACACACACACACACACACACACACACACACACAGAAACACACACACACAGACAGAAACACACACACACACACAGAAACACACACACCTACAAGCACTCCCTGTGTGGTCGTCGTGCACGTCCTTAAGTCTTAACACTGATGCTGCCAAACCTTAAAGGGGTGTACATGCTTATCACTAAATATATATAAAAAAAAGCAAAGAGTTAAGTCAATCATCAGTCATGATTACAATGATAATCCATTTATTTCCTTAAGTCTTCAAACAGAAGTAGACGTGCCCAGGTGGATTATTTAAGAGCACTTCAGGGCTTAAAGAAACGCTGCAATCACTGTCGCTGCAATCACTGTCAGTCATATCGGTGTTATGATAATTGAAAGTAATCTCAAGTATTACACGTTTGCCTTTGGCTATCATGGCCTTTCCTTTAATCTCTCTCTCTCTCTCCTATCTATCAGGATCGTACAGGGGAGTGTCTGAAGAGGACAGGGGCCAGCGTGGCTCTCACCTCCATCAGCAACGTCACCGCTTTCTTCATGGCAGCCCTCATCCCCATCCCAGCGCTCAGAGCCTTCTCTCTACAGGTATATACAATAGTTCATGTGTGTTTTTGTGTGTGTGTGTGTTAGAGAGATAAGTCGTGGGGGGCCCCTCTCTCACTAACAGTGTTGTTCCAGTCCTCATTGGCTCCAGATTTTTCCAGACAGTTGTTTTATTGATTTATTTCATCAAACTGAAAGGCTGTGTATTTATGTGTGTTTGAGGCATAGTGTGTGTTTTGATAAATCCATCCCGCCCTCTCCCTCTCCCTCTTTGAGGCTGTTTAGTGGTGGGCCCGGTGTCTGTCCAGATTGTGGCTGGGGTCCAGTGAATACCAGTGTGTGTGTGTGTGTGTGTGTGTGTGTGTGTGTGTGTGTGTGTGTGTGTGTGAGTATGTGTGCAGTGTGTGTGTGTGCGTGTGTGCGTGTGTGTGTGTGCGTGTGTGTGTGTGTGTGTGTGTGTGTGTGTGTTT